GGACTATGTCCATGGTTTGGAAATTCTCAGGGATTTGACCCTGAGTCTCCCAGTCCTAGCCTGACACTGTTAACTGCTACCCCACACTAGTTGGGAATTCAATACTACATATAATTCAATACTGCTTCTTTTCACTCACACTGAAGGCTACAGTTGTGTTGTCACTTTAGAACTGCATTACCATCTTCTCTCTTCTGTTTATGGTGGAACAAAACTGCAGGGTGGTGATCTGAAAAACCAGCGATAAGAACAAAAAAGAGCTGTGCAATGAAAAACAAAGGAACACTGCGCTGCGACCTTTTAAACCACATCCTGAAATGACACCGGTTATATCCTTTGCATAAATATATCCCAACACTCACAGCACTGAGGAGTTTCCAAAAAAACTTTCACTTGCTGGTTTAAACTGGGAGTTTTTCGCACACACAAAATCACTTCCTGCTGATACTTAAGTTTGAAGCAAACAAGTTAGTTCAATGTGGGAAACAGAGCATACCTTAATATAAGGCCAACTAAGTTAGTTCTTGGTATGAGCTTTCGTGTGCATGCACACTTCTTCAGATATGGTATCTGAAGAAGTGTGCATGCACACGAAAGCTCATACCAAGAACTAACTTAGTTGGTCTTTAAGGTGCTACTGGAAGGAAATTTTTTTGTTTTGATTATGGCAGACCAACACAGCTACCTATCTGTAACTTAATACTGTATAAGGATTAGCAGACAGCATACCATAGTCCATCAGGGGCTAACTTCTAGTCAAACCATCATCTTATTATTACCATCATTGCTGGGTCATAAACAGAAGAGAGAAACCTTTTTTCTTCTTCCTTTTTGGGAAATAATTGGGGGTTTTTTTAAAAAAAAAAGTGTTAAAAAATAGTTGTCAGGTGTTTTTTTTTAAGGTTTTGTCAAATAACAACTTTTATGGCTAAAAAGTAAATACAGTGGTTACAGACACTTCAGGTTACAGACTCCACTAACCCAGAAATAGTACCTCGGGTTAAGAACTTTGCTTCAGGATGAGAACAGAAATTGCGCCGCTGGGGCACAGTGGCAGCGCGAGGCCCCATTAGCTAAAGTGGTGCCTCAGGTTAAGAACAGTTTCAGGTTAAGAACGGACCTCCAGAATGAATTAAGTTCTTAATCCGAGGCACCACTGTATTGTCATTGAAGAAAAATTACCACTGTGGGAGAAAAACATACAATTTCTGACAAACCAAAACCCAAAAACCTGTGCAAAGCACTATGCAAGCCCTGCATAACAGACTTACGTAGAAGGCTTTGGGATAGCTCAGTTGGTAGTGCAACAGACTCTTAATCTCAGGGTTATGGGTTCAAGCCCCATGTTGGGCAAGAGATTCCTGAATTGCAGAGGGTTCGACTAATGACCCTTGTGTTCCTTTCCAACCCTATGATTCTAAGGCGACTTTGGCTCAACTGTCCATCAGCTGATGACCAGTAGAGTCAAAGGCATCTTTTTGCAGGCACTGGCTGTGCGAGTTCCCCAGAACTCTTGCAGCCAATCCAGCAGGCAGGTTTCTGCTCTTCCAGCTGATGACAGTAAAGCCCAAATCTGTTTTCCCTTGCCAATACACCACTGGGAATGCACTTTCAAGGCTCCCAATGGTACATTGGCAGCTGTGTCTGTCCCTGCCTCTCACCTGAAGTCACGTAAGATGTCAAACGTTGGGCTTATGGGCGTGGTTTGTGGAAAACAGCTTTACAGGCCAAATCTGAAACCCAAGTTTGGTCCCCAGGCTAGGGATATCCCTTCTGTACTCTAGAAAAAAATATCAAAGTAGCCCCCCACAGCTTGGGATAAAAGGTTCCCTCTCCATACATATCTGCACTATTTTTGTATGTGTATGTTTTACTTCAAATCTTGAAAACTCTTACCTGCCACCACTGGCAGATTTACAGTTATGCACAAAGGCTTATGGAAGCAACTTCTTTTTTAAAGAAAAACACATTCCCCCACCCGCCAAAAATGTTCAGATCTTTGGTGCGCTCTTCTTTTTAAATTGCTGGAAATATTTGTGGCTTACATTTTTGGCAAATGTCTCTCCTGTATTTAATTATATCCCCCAAATCTTTCCCCTTCATTAAGCTCCCTTTTCACCTTTAAGTGCTGCATTTAGCCACAAAAAAGGGGGTGGCGTCCTACACAATGCCTTTACTAATCTGTTTTATCAATCTCATCACACTTATCTGGCTTCAGGGTATTAAAGCTCACTCCCCGACCCCAATGAATATCATCCAAATCTTTGTCTTCTTAATCTCCTTAAGGGTTCAATTATGCTGCTCCTCGCAACATGGGGCGATGAGGAGGAGTGGCACAGGTGGGGATGGAGGCTGCACGTCTTAATAAAAAAACCAACCCTAATCCTTTCAAAGGTGCTGGAGAAGCATAAAGAGAGGCGCAGTGAGTGTGTGCTTCCTCAAAGAGCATGCATATGAAATACATGGGTGCCCTTGTGTTTCTTGCGCTTCTTTCTTGGCCAAAGATGTTGTTGTTTAGTTGTTTAGTCGTGTGCAACTCTTCATGACCCCAAGGACCAGAGCACGCCAGGCGCTCCTGTCTTCCACTGCCTCCCGCAGTTTGGTCAAACTCACGCTGGTAGCTTCGAGAACACTGTCCAACCATATCGTCCTCTGTTGTCCCCTTCTCCTTGTGCCCTCCATCTTGCCCAACATCTGGGTCTTTTCCAGGGAGTCTTCTCTTCTCATGAGGTGGCCAAAGTAGTGGAGCCTCAGCTTCACAATCTGTCCTTCCAGTGAGCACTCAGGGCTGATTTCCTTAAGAATGGATAGGTTTGATCTTCTTGCAGTCCATGGGACCCTCAAGAGTCTCCTCCAGCACCATAATTCAAAAGCATCAATTCTTCAGCGATCAGCCTTCTTTATGGTCCAGCTCTCACTTCCATACATCACTACTGGGAAAACCATAGCTTTAACAATACGGACCTTTGACGGCAAGGTGGCCAACGATACAGAAAGTCAAATACCAGGGCAATATAGAGTGCTTGTGTATGCGTGACTGTGCAATTATTTATGGAACACTTTGTTTTGGATGTTTGTATGTGATGCCAATAAAAGGTTTGATGATGATGATTTATGGAACACCAATGGACAAGAATTAATGATGCCAAAACAGATGTGCTACACACATACACACAGAGACTTTTCAGAGATGCAGTTTTTCCTTCCTTGAGTCCCCCCCCCCCCATGAAGACTCTTTGCATGAGGAAATGGCTCCACCAGTGCAGTTTCCCCACTCAAAACTAGCTTTCTAGAGTCTTAATTTAACTGAAGCTGCATTTACATGCACATGCAAATCAGGACATCTTCCTCTACCTCCCATAAATTGGTCTTAAAACTTGCATGTGGGTGTGCCTGGCACAAAGAAAGAACGAAGGCTGCCTCAAGTTGTAGCCAACATTTCTCACAAACACCTTCATCATCTCTTCTCCCTAGGCAACAATCTTCAATTTCAGTCACTATATGAATTGAGAACCTGTGCAAAACGTTCCCAGCAGTGGAGTCACAACTTATAGAACTATGATACCCAAAATAAAATACGATGAGTTAGTATAGGAATCTGTATTTGCTGCATTCCAGTCTCTCACTTTGCTGTGTCTCTCATATAAGAACCTGCCTTCCCAATCATTCATTCTGCCCAGCAATTTCTGCTCACAATGCAGTGGTATCAAAGCAACATTGCAATCTGAGATCCTTTAAGTCACAGGTGGGAAACCTTTGGCTTCCCAGATGTTGTTGGGCTGCAGGTCCCATCAGATCCAACCAGCACTGCCAATGGTAAGGGATGATAGGAGCTGGAGTCCAACAAAATCTAGAGAGCCACCGTTTCCCATCCCTGCTCTAAGCAGAAATGCTGGGGATTAAACTAGAACCTTTTACATGCAGAGTGCATGCTTGGCCACTGAGCTTTGCGCTCATGGCTTGTTTCTAGCTGTGGTGTGTATTTGATCTGAATATCTGCTCCTACTAACATAGGTTATTTCTTGTTTTAATGGAAGCTCAGTATAAGGTTTATCCTCATTTGTGTCGCAAACTCTAGAAAGTTCACACTCTAGAATTTGTGAATTTTCACTCATTAACAGAAGTATCCTAAATGCAATTTTACCCATTAATTCTTCCAAAGTGACACAGTGCATTGCTCTTAATTAAAGCACCAATTAAATGCCATCTAGCTATTGCTTTGTGATGCCATTTACAACTTGCAAAATTTCAAATTTCAGCCCTTTGTGTGTCTCACACATGCATGCATAGTAACCAAAAAATATTTTAATAAAATAGCACCACATGTTAATCCTGTTCCCAGATGATCTTGGCTAGTCTCCAAAAGACTAGCCATCACCCATATTGGGCAGCGACCTTTTCTTTACAGCGTAAACAAAATCAAACCATTACCTTGTCTACAAGTAACAAGAAGAAACAATTTTTAAAAACGAAGGACATATTTTTTGCAAACAAATGTCACAAAAATCAGGAAACCCCCCCCACACAAAAAAAACCCAACAACTAATAAGCAATGCTCATGGAAGAATTCGGGTTTGAGTTGATCTTCTTACTTTCAGGCAATTCAAATTTAGTTAAATAAAATTAGAGCCTGAGCGTGCGAAACCTTGGTTCAAAAGCAGAATGATTTAAGACACCCATGAGCATGGTAAAACAGAGCAATAATTAAGGAGAGTTCTGCAGTTTAAACTGCAGATGTTACTCTCTGTAAAAAGACTATAATAGTAAAAAAATAATATTACGTTTCCTAGGCAACTGTTTCATCTAGACATGATCCTTCCAAGTTGCAGTATTTTGTCATCCTATGTACAATACATTTAATGCCCGGGGGTGTGGGGTGTGAACCAGACCCTCCCTGAGAACAGCAAGGTATACATGCAGACCTGCACATCTGTGCAGTTTTTGGTACATGGGAGGGAAGAATCCCCTTGTACATGCAAAGATCTCCACGTGCAAAAGAATTCATTCCAAGAAGGACCAAATCATGTCTTTATTTTTCTCATCCTCACAACAACCCTGTGAGGTAGGATGTATTTGTATGTAGGGAAAGGATGGTCCCACAAACTGACCTGCCTGCAAGTCAGTAGCTGAGCAAGGATTTGAAGCCTAGATTCCTAACTGCAACATTTCATCTGCCTATAGATATTGGATGGCCACTAAGAACACATTCAAAATCCACAGGGTGACTGAATAAAGCCGCCCCCTCCAAAAGGAGGAGGGGGAGGAACCATGAAGGCAAATTTTACAAGAGGAAACTATTGTGCACTGATGAGGAATGACCTACAGGACCTCGGGGTTTTGTTTGGTTTCCACTGTATAATATTGCTAATTATTTTCTGTAAGGTCATGATGAACAAGATCCAGACAAGTTACACACATTGAAAACAATTGGGGGTGGGGGGAAAAGCACAATAGGTTTTGCTAAGCTACAAAATTTCAGGTGTATTAAACGCTTTCTCACTAGCTGTATAGGTTTCCAATTCATGCGCTGTTTGTAATGCTAATGGATACTGGTGGCCTCCATCCAGTGTGGGTTCATTGGCCACATGCAAACTGTTTCCGTGCATACACTAGAGTTTCCCCTTTATCTTCTTCTTGACTATTGTGCTGAACTAGTGGCAGGATCTAAACTAAAGGCTTTAGGTGCTTTTTTCTGGGCTGTGAAGGGGTCCAGAATTTCCACACACTGCCTTAGACTCAGGCACCTGTCCCCACCCAAAAAACACCCCACTTTAGACTTGGGTTTAATTCAGGCATCATGGTGAAAGACACTGATCCATGACAGAAAAGTAGAGATGCCATGGGTTGTAATTAGTTAGCAAACTATAATTAGAAATAGGCTTGCAAAACCAAGGTTTGTGCTGACTATGATATCTGAATTTCCAAATTGCAAGAGGAAACCTAGTAAATTGAGTCAGACCTTGGTCCATCTAGCTCAGTAACTGTCTACACTGATCAGCAACTGCTCTCCGAGATTTCGGACAAGAGTCTTTTCCAGCCTCAAGCAGAGACTTTTGTGTTGAGCACTGATACCTATCTGTAATTACATAGATTCCTCCATGAATTTTCCATAGTTTATTATTGAAGAACTGATGTAGCAAGAGAAAAACCATGTAATTCACATTTTATTGCTGTGGTATGGCTTGATGTCCCAATAAATAGGATGTTTTAGCAGATGCCACACTGTTTCATCCGTTTTAAAGACTCATCTTCATCAAATTGACTATTTATTCTTAAAAGTGATATTAGGGAGGGAAATAGACATGAGGGTTCAATGCTTAACCTCCATATCAGAGGGAAAAAAGAACAATTCCTTATTAAGATAATATGCAAAATGTACAAATTCTCCTATCAACCAGAAAGTCTTCCACTGACTAGAATTCCAGTACCTAGCCAAGTCAGTACAACATTTGGTCATTGTGTTTGGTCTTTTTAATACTTTGAACAAGCATCTGCTGGTGTCTTCACCGTAAAAGCAGCACTCTTCAGAAACAACAGAACACAGCACCATTCTATATTTCTTCTTTGTTTAGTAGATGTCAGAGGATTCTTCTTCTTTGTTACCATCTCATGTGGGTGCCATTGCCCTTCTAAGAGGACAAGGGAGGCGTTCAAGGTGAGTTCTGGCACCTCTTTTTCTAGAAAAGTAGTACTGGTCACCATCTGAGAGACGGTCTTCATATAGCTCCAAGTGACAAATTAAGTCTGCTTGACAGAAAGAGTCATGTCACAAAACAAAAATGGCGGTGACTGAAACCAGCAACAGGATAGTAGCAGCCTGTCTGCTGCTGCCCGACGTCCTCCGAGCATGGACAACTGCAAATACCGCATTAGTATGATTTGTTGGTATGTCTACATTGCAGATCATCCCTTCACAGCAAGAGATGCATTCCTGTAAGTTTTAAAAGACAACATATGATTTTTAAATTTAATTAATCAATGAATTACATCTGCAAAAAGTTGCATGTGAAGAAAAATAAACATTCTGAAGGAGCATTTTTTGTTTTGCTATAGTAGGCTCAACTTAAGAAAAGGCATTCCATCAATACACCATGGCAGAGGGATGCCTCTTTTATGGTGGTACCTGGCATCTGTGGGCGGGTGTTTTGTTTCGCAAGTACCTGCATTACAACTAAGCAAGCGATCTGTTTCCTGATTTATTGGAAGTCACATATTTAAAATTAAAAGTTTTTTAAATTGTTCATTTGATAACAATTGAAGTTGCTTCCACACCAAGTTCCTTACACTTAACTGGAAAGGAAGTTCCACAGAGCAGTAATATGCCACTATGTTATCCAAATGTACTGTACCTCTGTGTCAAGGAGGCAGAAAGGAACACACTGCTCTTGAACAGAACAGGAGCTAAATGGCAGTTCATTATTATCCATCAATCGAACTGAAAGCGGAGAAACAGCCGCCGCAATGTTTCTACAGAAGTAAAAGTTGCAATCCTCAGCAATGCTTTGCCTGTCTACATTGCATCTGTGTTGTGCAGCAAGAAATAGAAAACAAATGCCACAAATCGAGCCCGGCAGGAAGGGACGGGGACTCCTGGGATATAACAATTTGGCAATGGCATTGTCTGGATCCTCTGTAAGAAATGAGTGAACGAACGACAGTAATTCCTGAGAAAAGAGCTAATTACAGTGGAAGCAACCTAAATGTCACAGCCTCATATGGCAGCAGTTTCTTTACCATAATTAATTAACGGAAACTTGACATTTTTATGTAACTGTTAAATGCATAATAAAGGGCTGAATCCCTGCTAAATGTGTGCTTTTAAACAGAAGGTTAATAATTTGTGTAATGCTCTTGACATGTGATGTGCAATCTAGAAGAATGTACACTTGCAGATTCCCATTGCCAGCAACAGAATGGTAAACCATGTGAGTACAAAGGAAACATCCTTCATCTGTGGCCAGCATTGTTGAATGTTCTGGCTTCCCCCTACTTCATAATTATCATGGGTTTTCTCCTCTACATCAGCTCTGTGAGAATAATGCCCATTGTCCCCATTTTATGGTTGTGAGACTGAGATTCAGCCTGAATGAGATGCCAAAAGCACCCAGTGAGTTCTGTAACTGAGCTGATACTTCAGCCAATGTCCAAGCATGGCACTTCTGTCAATAGGCCACACCAATTCCCAACAGTGAAGACCTCAGTCAGTGATTCAGCTACATATAAACACGCATCATTTTGTCTACTACATGCTTGCAATATCTAGGTCAAAATGTATTAACCCACATACAGATATTCCCTTAGCAGCCTGATCACAGAGGTCTGACAGTCTGGGACCTCGGCTATCAGCAAGAACACAAGGGCCAAGGAAACCTTGCTTTTTCCAGCCTCTTGGGCAGGATTGTGTCCTTAAAATAAATTAAAAAATCAAAATTCTAGGTAAAGTGAAGTGATGTTCTACAACCTATATAAACAAACGCAAACCAAGCAAAAATTATTTGTATGTTCTGTGCAATGTAATCAGCTTCTTCTGGAACGCTAATATGTGCATAATAAGCTGCTCCTGGTGAGTGACTAAAATAAATTTAATAATTAATAATACACACTATGGCCTTTTAAACTGGGGGGGGGTGTACTGTTTTTGTTTGTTACTATGTTGTGTGTTTTTGTGTTTTTATACTGTAAACTGCCCTGTGATCCTTGGACGAAGGGCGGTATAGAAATTTAATACAGTCATACCTTGGGTTGAAGTCGCAGATGCTCAAAATGAGGTCACTCGCATGCGTGGAAGCGGTGAATCATGACCCACGCATGCGCAGATGCGGGTTGCATTTGCTTCAGGATGTGAATGGGACTCTGGAACAGATCCCATTCGCATCCAGAGGTACCACTGTACATCATCACCATCATCACCAATGCAGGCAACAACTATACTTGGGATGGGGATTACTGTTGTCTTCTGAGTGTAATGATTGCCTAATTTATGCCTTGGGTGTGGAGGACAGAGAGGGCACCGTGTTCTAAAGTACTTTCCTGTACACAAAAAGACAATGCTCACAGTGTGACTAGTTTCCCTGTGGTGGCGACATCCAACAAAACGGCACTCTTCTCTGGTAGCACATTTTTTAGTGACGGAGGTGCTCCTTCCATGACTGGTGAAGTGATGGACTGTCAAGCAGTACTCTGTGTCTAAGCAACCAAAAGGAAGAAGAGAAAATCAGTAATAGAGTTGATGCAGTGAGATTCAAATCAGAGACTGGACTTTCTGACCAGAACTCAAGATGTCTGGAGTTTTTTTTATAAATAAGGCATTCTTTTTCTGCCCCCACTGCCCTGCATCACCTGGTTTGACCACAGACACATCTCTCCTTGCTTCAGAATATTTTAAAAGTTTGTTCTATTGGCTCTGAAATTGGGGCATACACTTTCTGGTCCTGTTCTTCCTTAGATGGGAAATCCCTACATATTAACATACGCTCCTGCATTCCACTGGGTGCAGGTTTTCCCAAGGTACTGGAGAAGGTGGCCAGGGTACTAGCACAACCCACCCTGCACCCATTCTTTGACCAGCACATTTTCCCACACAGAAGGCAAGACAGCACTGCTTGCATCTAAATGTAATCTGCAGCACACATAGAGATTGGGGGTGTGGGTGTTACCTAGACAAAAACTCAAGGAATGAACACCACCTTTCCACTACCAAGTCGCCATTTTGTTTTCCAATAACATGTTCCAAAGGTGCCCTTCATATTTCCAATAACATGTTCCAAAGGTGCCCTTCAGAGGAACTGCTGATTTGTGACATGTTAAAGTCTTGGCATCCTATTGGTGGGTTCGGGCTTGTGGTTTTTTCTGTGCAGTGGATGACAAGCTGGGAATGGAAACAGTCCTATGGGAAAGAGCCTTACAGCAACAACATAAAATGAAGTTACTGATAAGCCATATGAAGGACACCAAAGTCAGATATACATGTGATTGGCTCTGTGACAAATAAGAAGCATGGCAAGTATAGCAGTGTACTCTAAAGCCAATAATGTTAAATACCTTCTTAGCCACTTCGATATCTAAAATATGGTGTAAGGTAAAGGGACCCCTGACCATTAGGTCCAGTCGTGGCCGACTCTGGGGTTGTGGCGCTCATCTTGCTTTATTGGCCAAGGGAGCCAGCATACAGCTTCCAGGTCATGTGGCCAGCATGACTAAGCCACTTCTGGCGAACCAGAGCAGAGCAGCGCACGGAAACGCCATTTACCTTCCCGTCGGAGCGGTACCTATTTATCTACTTGCACTTTGACATGCTTTCAAACTGCTAGGTTGGCAGGAGCAGGGGCTGAGCAATGGGAGCTCACCCCGTTGCGGGGATTCGAACCGCCAACCTTCTGATCAGCAAGTCCTAGGCTCTGTGGTTTAACCCACAGCGCCACCCGGGTCCCTAAAAATATGGTGCAGTCTGATGAAAAAGCCAGAACAAATAACATTAAATATCTTACTGTTCCCCATGTACTTACTCGGAGGACACCATTTGTCTTCAGCCCATCTGTTACAGTTGTAATTGTCAACCACATTGTCACATGTAAAACACTTGAAGCTGCTTGGAAATGGAGTAGCTTTGAAATAAAAAAAATAAAAATAAAGAAATGAAAAGAAGTAAATAGTTTCAGAATCCCAAATGTCATAACCCCAAATTCAGTTCTTCCCCAGTTAGGTTCCGGAGAGAGGGGAACCAAACAGCAATGAGCCTTGTTGAATTGCATCACAATCCTAAGTATACTCACTATGGGCCTATTGATTTAAGAGTGGGTTTCAGGTGTGTGGAGGGGGCTGCCATGCGGGGAGGAGCTAGGAAAGCCCCATTGCACGAGTGGAGTTTTGCTCAGTTTTCTCTGCATGCAACCCTTAATCGTTTATATCCTGTCTCTCACACCCAACCAAGATACTCAAAGTGGATTTTGTCTTTTGGGTGCTTTCTTGATTTTATTCTCCATCTCAAGAGCTCTCGGTGGCAGCATAGCCCATTGTGGGGTACCCACTGTACCAGGTTAAATAAAACAGATCAGCACTAACTACAATACAGTGGTGCAGACAGACGTTAAATGAGGAGCCCATCCAGCCCCTGGTTTCTTGTGATACAACATCCAAAGAGCAAGGCAACACATGGAAAACCGCTATGTTCAATTACAGATGCAAAATCTCAGCAGAATGTGTCCTAAACAACAGTATGAGAAAGATGTAGCAAAAGTAATAAAAAGAGGAACATGCAGGTGTGCTTTAATCAAGGGTTCAGCCAAAAAATTAACAACTATCAGAGAAAATCAAGTTGATGTTTAGCTTTTAGGTCTATTAGAAATGCATTGTGAATTCATGATGATGATGATGATGATGATGATACAAGGCATTTCAAATAGAAAATGCCCAAAGAGTTGAAAACATATGCACTGGCATAGCCAACAAAACTGTAACAGAACTGTAACTGGCTACTTACGGTCTACTGGAAGTCTCACATTATGGAAGTTGATGTTCTTGGCTAGAATCCAGCTATTGGAGACTATGAAGAGCTGAACAAAAGCTGCAGCCAACATTTGATAGAGGAACGGCATGCTGTTTGTTGCACATCAAAGCATAAGGTTCTTATAACTGAGAGAAAGAAGGGGAGAAAGAATGTATCATTACCCAAAAAAAAGCCTGAGAACTGATTTTATGTCTGGCACACTCTGTACAATACGTTACTCACATCCACCTCTGCCAGCACTGTTAGTCCCAGCAATGGCCTAGGGGGCATACATGAATTAAAGGTGACATCAGCTCCACAAAGCTAAGCTGGCACTGCCTTCTGCTGGCCTGGTTGTAATGTACATCACAGCACTGCTACATATTACAGCAAAAGGCCTTTCATAAGTGCAGCGGTTGTGATAGAGCAGAGGAGGTTAAGAAAAAACATCCATTAACAAGCTTGAATGGATAAAATTAAGCTTTTTTAGAAAGAAAGATCAGTGCAGGTTGCAGTGGCCACTGGCAATCTGAACTGCAGAAGCATACAGGCCTCGGGTTTATTTTTTAAAGAGGGTTTTCAAGACTCTGGTCAGAATCTACAACACTATGATTTCTAGGCTGTCCATTTTCTGCTGAATGCAAAACAAGTTCACACATCGTCATTACTGCATGCATTTTAAATTTCTTAATTAATGCTTATCTATCTTTAACAGGTAGCATGCATATTCAAAAAGTAGTTGCTCCAATAGAGTTACCTACTTGCCTATTTTGCATCTCTCATCTTGCACAATGCCATCAAATCAGCAAGTATCAATGCTCAGCTTGAAGGTATCAGAATTCCACACGCAGATCTGCAGATGCTAATGAGAAATAAAAAGGCATTCAGTGTGATTTCTCCCACTAAAGGTCACATTTAAAGAAAAAGTCTTCATGGATAAACATTAAATTTTTTCAAGTCACAAAGACTCATTTACCAAAATGGGAGGGGGGATTTGATACTGGTTACATAAAGGACAAAAGAACTTAATAAGTGCAGTCATACATTCAAACCGAGGATGGATTTAATCCAAAGGTTTGGTGAAAAGATGAATATGGAACATAGAAAGCTGTGGGTCAGGCCACTGGTGTATTGAACTCAGTAACACTGTCTGACAGAGGCTGTCCTGAGTTTCAGACAGGACTCTTGTCCATCTCTCCCTGGAAATGCTGGAAGTTGAACTACAGTCCTTCCACAAAATGTATCATCAATATCACAAAGCATTTTTGCCATGAATGACATGATTTACAACAGAATACAGATGTGTCAAAGCTGACAAGCATGCACACGGTTAATGTTGTCATGCAGGAACATTATTGGCACTTCTGAATACAGTATTGCACAAACACAACATGGACGTGTCAGATATTAGTGGACTGTATACGACTGCTCTGGTCCATGGGGTCCATGGGGTCACGAAGAGCTGGACACGACTAAACGACTAAACAACAACAAATACGACTGCTATTCAGATTCACCACTAGATGGCATAAGATAAGATGAGATCTGCAGAGTTCCCAAACCCTTTTTTGGACACTGGGATCTGAACTGCAGCCAGTTAAGGTGCTGGGAACCAGCCTGTGCTTCTTCTCTCACTCAACGTGCACAAGTCAAGTCAAGTTTCATTGGCTAAAAACCAATGGCCATTGCAAACATGTGAAGGTGACTGGCTATTACAGTTTATCATAGATTATTTCCAGAAGAATGTCCCATGTTTAGCAGGCCAAATTAATCCCCAATTCTTCCTAGGACACACACAGTCTTGTGTATGACATGTTTATCTCCATCTGGTCACCAAATAAATGAAACAATACCCATACAAACATCCCAACACACCGAGCCATGTCCATACTTCAGGGTTTCTAACTTAACCACGGTTTATTGGAAACTAGCTGCGTGCTGATTAATTGCTCCTGCTGAGCTCCTCCTTCCCTGGTGCACATGAGAGAAACAAATCAGGAATTGATACTAAACTTGGCTTCTTGAGATGTCCTGGATTGTGCACCGTTGCTCCCTGGCAAACCAGAATTACTAGCCATAAAAGCATGCTTTGTTGACTAAAGATTCCTGACTACTTAAGAGGAAGCAAACAATGAACTTGGGTCTGAACATCTCAGGCTGTGGTTTCTTGCTTTGCCTTTCCCTGTGCATGACAAGGGCACAGTAGAATATATCTGCTTATTCCTGATAAATCATGAGAGGAATTCAATGTTGCACTAATCGTTCTATCAGTGCAAGCATTTTGGCATGCCACACAGAGTGATGTCCCCCTCTCCTACCCACCACCATATGCTTTTCCATGGATTCTTCTGATCTACCCCCAAGCCAATGTCAGCAGGCACAGGGGGAGGAGATGGGGGAAAGCCCCATTGCACAAGAAAAAGTCATTGTAAGGGGCTTCCGCTGACAGTACGCATTAGTTGAATCCTGCCCCATGGAAGCAATGCTGACTTACTGTGAGGTGCAAACATGCCCAGAGACTATACTGTCACACAAAAACAAGTCCAATTTGTTAGCAAAGTTATTATGTTATAACTCTAGAATAATTCCAGCCACCAATACCAAGTAGAAAGTGCTCCCCCCCCAAAGGATGCTGGTTTTCCTTGCTGCCAGAGGTGCCAACTTGAATATTGTGGGGGTCCAAGGTAAGCCCTGCCATGCATAATCGATCACATGATGCAGTGCGTACACACCACTTTAAGAGGAATGCCCATCAACTTTGTGGGGGCCCAGCCCCCTCAAATATTTTATTGTGGGGGCCGAAGCCCTCATGGTCCCTAGGTTTTGGTTCCTATGTTTGCTGCAGACCAGTATAAGGAGGCACACACCGTTCTTTAAAAATATTATCTTCGATCTTGTCTGCTTAGAACCAAGCATTATTTTTGCTTTATTTCCATTTGAGTTGACAACTATTTATCCCTCATGCACAACTGAAGAGTGGTAACAGGAGTAGACTCACCCTTGAAATACAGTGGTACCTCCATTTACGAACTTAATTCATTCCAGAAGTCCATTCTTACACTGAAAGCGTTCTTAAACTGAGGCAGCGGCGTAGCGTGGGTTGTCAGCACCCGGGGCAAGGCAAGTAATTTGCGCCCCCTAACCCGTGGATTTGCGCCCCCTAACCTGTGGATTTGCGCCCCCTAACCCGTGGATTTGCCCTAACCCCAGATGTTGCGCCCGGTGCGGCCGGCCCCCCCCTGCACCCCCCACGCTACGCCACTGAACTGAGGCACACTTTCCTCAATGAGGCTTCCGATTGCCAGTGCTGGTTTGTCTTCTGTTCGTCTTCCAGAGCAAAGCTCGCTAGCCTACTTCCAGTAGGAACATCTACTTCCAGTTTTGCGGAGTGCGTTGCCCGAATCGTTCATTAACAGGACTGTTCTTAGACCAAGGTATGATTGTACAGTGGACCCTCTGGATATGAATTAAATTCATTCCAGGGGTCCGTCCGCAACCCAAAAAGTTCGTAGGCAGAGGCGTACAGCAAAACTCAGAAGTATACACTTCCGGGTTTGCCGCGTCCAGAGCGGTACGTAACTAGAGGGTCCACTGTATTCTAAAGCTTTGCATAGCTTTGACCGTACACAGTAATACAGAGAACTTTGTTTCTCCCAGTCCTTGAAACTATTGTTTCTGTTCTCTCTTTAAGTATCTCGTTCTGTACTCTTCAAACACCAAACTAGCCAAAGAATCTTGGGCCATAATATAGGGTATGTACACATTAGCAGCTTGGAGCCCAGGAAAGTTGTTTTCCTCTGGTACATTTTAAGTCACATCACCAATGCCCATTACCTTATTTGTTTCAGTGCACCAAACTCCAGTTCACTGAAACTGTAATCTGCACATGCGCAATGACTGCCTGAACTGGTTTCCTATGGATTGTGGCTAGCGTCATGTGTACTCAGCTTCCACCACCAGTGGTGCAAGTGTGCTGGAGCTGAATTAAGTGGTAATATAGACAAAGCTTTATTTCTGAATAGCTCACTTAATGTTTGCTCCATGAGGGTGGGGCACTGATACCCTTCAATGCAGGGCTTATCTGTCACAGAAAAGCAACCAGCTTTTATGGGAGCAAGGCATGACACAGAGCTTCTGACAGCCAACACTCACCTTAAAACACAAAACTGCACCTGCACCACCAAACAAACATTTCACTCTAGACCTTGTCGCTTCAGTATGAGCCACTTCGAGGAAAACAAACAATGCAAGCTAAGACCAGCCTTCGCCTACCTGCTGCCCACAAGGTGTTTTGGATAGTAATTCTCAACAGCCCCAGCCAGCATAGATTTTCTCCACTCTGAAACATCCCTGTACAATTTTTAAAAAAAACAAAACAAACAAACTCATGGCATGTTTTTCTGCAATCCCAATCCCTCATCAAGGATGCCTACTATAAGGTGTCACTGGCCTGAACAAGCCTATTCTCTCTTCTCTGCCTCCATCTTGTTATCTCCTTCCCTCCTTCTCAGACTAATGTCTTAACATTTTGTATATCCTTTAATCCCATGGGTCCTTGCTTGGTTGCTTAGAGTTTCTTAATATATATTTTTTTCTGTTGATTTACAAACTTGCATACATAAACACACCTAGGGTGTCCCCTGAGTATGTGGAAACCACTGACTTATTTTTGAGTGAGTCTATTTAGTTTCTGTGGGACGCGGGTGGCGCTGTGGGTAAAAGCATCAGCGCCTAGGGCTTGCCGATCTAAAGGTCGGCGGTTCGAATCCCCACGGCGGGGTGCGCTCCTGCTGCTCGGTCCAAGCGCCTGCCAACCTAGCAGTTCGAAAGCACCCTCGGGTGCAAGTAGATAAATAGGGACCGCTTACTAGCGGGAAGGTAAACAGTGTTTCCGTGTGCGGCTCTGGCTCGCCAGAGCAGTGATGTCACGCTGGCCACGTGACCCGGAAGTGTCTCCGGACAGCGCTGGCCCCCGGCCTCTAGAGTGAGATGGGTGCACAACCCTAGAGTCTGTCAAGACTGGCCCGTATGGGCAGGGGTAACTTACCTTTATTATTTAGTTTCCAGACTGACTAATGCTTGACTGTCTGGGTTTACTATCAGAAAAGTGATTCTCAAAACTCTCCTCAGCCCCTCAGATGGACCACTTGAAAAATGCTGAGAGCCTTGGTGGGACCACTAAATGATTTTTCTGCCTGTTGCAGCCACAGTTTGAGAACCCCTCTGAAAGGGAATTGCCTAAATGTGACCAAACTTTGGATGTAATATTCTTTCCCTTCTTCATTTTTAAAAATAAAACAAAAACTAGGCACAGAAATCTGGAGAGCTCAATGATTTAACTCCCCCCCCCTGTGTGTGTACACCCAGGTGATGTTGTAATTACTCAGTTTTGGAATTGTCTATTTTTATCAGAAATTTTCTGCCCTCCAACCTAAATACTCTAATGTGGAATGTATAGCTATTTTTCCTCTACACACAGAGTTCTTAATTTAAATCTGCCCACCCCAGGTTACATATTAAAAGCCAGCCGAGTTAATAAATCCTTCGGTCAATAAAGTCTCTGTATCTCAAACATTTACACTGCCACTACCCCAAAGGGAACCAGCCTGGATATTTCCAGAGATTTCTGCCCACCATCCACGACTTCATTAATCAAATTGTTTTTGCACGGCAAATGGTGTGCAGCAGCCTGTGAAAGTATCTGCTACTACAATGCGAACTGAACAAATGCACTGTTTAGGGTTTGTTTTTTACCAGTTGTTCCTGGAAGCTATCGTTTTTTTGCAACTGAAAATTGTAACAATCCAAGCCATTTCAGCTGCTACTTGTAATTAAAAACCTAAATGGAGTCACCAACTGTGA